CACACACACACACATTCATATATGCTAGCATAGTTATTAAGATGGAGTCAGATTGAAGCGATGGAGTTATTGTTTTTCTTGCAGCAACAATTGGTGTTGAAGTTCATCCACTGGACTTCTTCACGAACTGTGGAAAGATAAGGTTTTATTGTTGGGACACAGCTGGACAAGAGAAGTTTGGAGGGCTCAGAGATGGTTATTAGTAAGTTCTCAACCTTCTATCTATCTAATACAATTATTAACGAACTTCTGAATTATTTTTTTTGTCCTCTCTTCACATTCTCAACCTACTGATTTAGAGCTTATATTATATTCAATTGTGTTTTCTAAGAGTGTATGGAATTATTTGGTTTATCTGGTAAAATTTGGATTAGTGTAGACAAGTATTAGACATTCATCCATGCCTCAACCTTGTGCTAATTCCCTTATGGGTGGCACAGATACCAATTGAAATTGATTGTGTTTTTTAAAATGTCTGCCTTTAGATTAGTCGCACTTACTTTCTGCCTTGAGTCATTCCATCTTAAGTTTCCCCTTGCCCAATCTTTTGTACCTGTTCTTTTTTCCTCAGTATAAGTATCCACATGAATATAACATATGTCCTGTTTGATATTTACAGCATTCATGGGCAATGTGCTATCATAATGTTTGATGTGACTGCACGTTTGACCTACAAGAACGTTCCCACGTGGCATCGAGATCTCTGCAGGTTCTTTCAGGAGTTCTGTTGACCTCGACCTCTAAACATGCACCATATGTTGAATTAATTTTCTGCTGTCTTTTGTTAGGGTGTGTGAGAATATCCCAATTGTTCTGTGTGGGAACAAGGTTGATGTCAAGAACAGGCAAGTGAAAGCAAAGCAGGTCACGTTTCATAGGAAGAAGAATCTTCAGTACTACGAGATTTCTGCAAAGAGCAACTACAACTTCGAAAAGCCTTTCCTATATCTTGCTAGAAAGCTTGCGGGGTAAGATTTAAGTTTTTTTTTCCTATGGTCTCTTTCTTCTGTCACGGACGCTCTCATATCATACCGAATTTACTCTAAAGCATTGATTTGACTGATCCTCCTTCCCTAAAAGAGTTGTTTGTTTTTTCATCTCTTGTTCCTATGATTGAGTCCTTTATAGAGTCAATTCCATAATCAAGCAGGTTGTTTAAATTAATTATTTCACCTTGCAGGGATCTTAACCTTCATTTTGTCGAGTCACCTGCTCTAGCTCCTCCAGAAGTTCAAGTCGACATGGCAGCACAACAACAGTAAGTCTACATATTTGTGAATCTATTCTAGTCTGGCTTGTGATTGTCCTTTTTGTACTATTGTAACTTGCATAATTTGCATGATAGTTAAATGAATCATCTAGCTGTGCCTGTACTTTATGATTTGAATATTTAACATAATTTCACTCTGTAATATTTTGAATAAGCGTGTCTTTAGACCGTTTGTACCTCCACTCTTCCCCCAACACTCCCTCCCAAAAGTCAAAATTAAAAATTATGATGAAAAGAGGAACATTGATAAAGTGTGTTTGTGAAACAAAGTTTGAAGCTTGATCTGAGTTGAGTTTGGTGGACAAATGGAGCATGTAGATGCTTCCATGGTATGTCCTGGCTTGCTTTGGATTACAGCTTTCCTTCGTTTGCATTTTTCTTAGATTTAGTAGGTGAACATTTTAACGTAAATTTGGATTATTGTTGGGGATTAAGGAACATGCGAGTTGTTTGGACATTGCCTGACTAGGATTTTTGGTTAGAACATCTAGTCTGAAGCTTGTTCTTCATTGCTTGACTAAGCTGATGGACATTGTAATGTACTAATATTTATTGCAGGCATGAAGCTGAATTACTTGCAGCTGCTGCACAACCTTTGCCTGATGATGATGATGATGCATTCGATTAGTGACTTCAAAATCTGCATGCTTTTTCTGTTCGACTCTTCGCAGCGAGGTGCAGGTTCTGGTCGTTGGAACAACAGTCTGCAATTCATTTCCTTTTCTTGTTTTGATTAGATGGGTTTTATTGGCTGAAACACTGGCTTGTAGAGTTGCATTTAGATCATGTTCAATATCCATGTGTTTTAGTAATGAATACTAATTGACCTGCGATTATATTTGCAATTTTTATTTTGGGGAATTGATTAATGTGTCACAGGGCAAAAAACTTATAGGATATAAAACCTATATATATCACCAAGTGGATTTTGTGATCTGTGAGTTTTCCTGGCAACCCAGTAAAGATCCATGCTTCTATACAATACGTGTAGAGATATAATCTCTTGAGGTGTCGAACACTTCCCATGGTTTGTGATGAAGGAGCCCCGAGCCATATAAGTGAGCGGATCACTTCATATATTAAGTGTTATTTTGGGTTGGAAACCCATGCCTAACATAATATACGAGTAAAATCATTTCGTGTCACCTTGAATACTCCCAACGGAGCTATCCTAGGTGAATTGGAGAAGCTCATCTGCAGGTTTTCGACCGCCAAATGAGATCATAAACGGTAACGCTTTTGCTGTTGTGCAACATATCTGACGGTTCGAATTGTTAATGTCAGGGAGGGTGTGCACAAAAACTCGATTATGACGTAGATTCAGGGCTAATTGGGTTCATGATTGTCTTGTGTGTGTGTGTGTGTGTGTGAGAGAGAGAGAGAGAGAGAGAGAGAGAGAGATGTACTTCTGGATCGCTGTGGAAATGAACAGCAGAATTGATCCAAGTCATTTGGTAGGTACCACACGGAACTGCTGCCGAGCCATTAGGGTTTACTCCTTTGGCGTCTATAAGCAATACTGAGTTCTACGAATTTGACCCAGGCACCTGGGAGCTGGGCCTCCCCTGGCCCAATGATCCTCTACTAATGCCAATGTTGTTTGGGTTTTTTTATGGGCTCATATCAAACAAACAGCTTGTGTGATGTTTACGATGCTGAATTGAGGCCCAAAGAGTTACTTGTTTTGTGTCATAGAAAATAAGAATTCACACCACACTAAACAGTAAGGATGTTGGTGACTGGTTCTGTATCCATACCAGTTGCTGTAAATAATTTTTTTTTAATAATTTATGGGTTTGTGTAATGATAAATTAATTAACTAAAAAATTACTTTGCACAAAACAAAAATGTTACTTGAATATAATTTAAAAACCTAATCCTATATTGAATTAGGTTCATGTCTCTGACTAAATTGTCAAATTAAATCTCAATAGCCTTGCTCTTATCAAAAACCACACCTTAACAGTAGTTTTGTATCACTTAATCTCGAAACTTTATAAAATCCAATCTCACTATTGAATTGTATCATTTAATATTTAAAAAATTTGAATAAGAGAAATTGGTACATTGGTTAGTGGCTTATTATAACTGAAAAAGAAGAACCGACAATCTCGATTGAGGATCAGCAAAAATGTACGGACGACCGGTGACACACATGCTGCAAAGTTGTTATCCATAGTCGGTATTACCCGAAAAACCCGACCCTGTTTCGACTTCTTTTTTGATTTTCAAGTACTCGAATTCTTCGTTAGCCAAAAGTACCCTCGTCTGTCTTTGTTTTTGCTTGTATCTTCTTGCCCACCTCTTTTTAACATCCTTCATCTGTTGAATTAATTAAACCAAAGTAGGTTTCCTTGACCAAACCTAAGGGGTTCTATGTACAACTATATCTCGGGTTCCAGCTAAAGAATTATTTTTTTCAAAATCTCAGACACAAACTAAGACACGATCTCTTCGTGAAACAATAATTTAATAAGGGCTCACAGAAAATCTCGTATGTATTAATTTCTAATTTTTCTAATATTCAAACTATACAACTTTATTAATAATGTTATAAGCTTGTAAAGTAATAATTTCATTGCGCTTGTTTATCTTGTGAAGATGAACTTCTAATATTATCCTCCTAATATTCAAACTATAGAATTTTATTAATGTTATTTTGNGTGACTGCACGTTTGACCTACAAGAACGTTCCCACGTGGCATCGAGATCTCTGCAGGTTCTTTCAGGAGTTCTGTTGACCTCGACCTCTAAACATGCACCATATGTTGAATTAATTTTCTGCTGTCTTTTGTTAGGGTGTGTGAGAATATCCCAATTGTTCTGTGTGGGAACAAGGTTGATGTCAAGAACAGGCAAGTGAAAGCAAAGCAGGTCACGTTTCATAGGAAGAAGAATCTTCAGTACTACGAGATTTCTGCAAAGAGCAACTACAACTTCGAAAAGCCTTTCCTATATCTTGCTAGAAAGCTTGCGGGGTAAGATTTAAGTTTTTTTTTCCTATGGTCTCTTTCTTCTGTCACGGACGCTCTCATATCATACCGAATTTACTCTAAAGCATTGATTTGACTGATCCTCCTTCCCTAAAAGAGTTGTTTGTTTTTTCATCTCTTGTTCCTATGATTGAGTCCTTTATAGAGTCAATTCCATAATCAAGCAGGTTGTTTAAATTAATTATTTCACCTTGCAGGGATCTTAACCTTCATTTTGTCGAGTCACCTGCTCTAGCTCCTCCAGAAGTTCAAGTCGACATGGCAGCACAACAACAGTAAGTCTACATATTTGTGAATCTATTCTAGTCTGGCTTGTGATTGTCCTTTTTGTACTATTGTAACTTGCATAATTTGCATGATAGTTAAATGAATCATCTAGCTGTGCCTGTACTTTATGATTTGAATATTTAACATAATTTCACTCTGTAATATTTTGAATAAGCGTGTCTTTAGACCGTTTGTACCTCCACTCTTCCCCCAACACTCCCTCCCAAAAGTCAAAATTAAACATTATGATGAAAAGAGGAACATTGATAAAGTGTGTTTGTGAAACAAAGTTTGAAGCTTGATCTGAGTTGAGTTTGGTGGACAAATGGAGCATGTAGATGCTTCCATGGTATGTCCTGGCTTGCTTTGGATTACAGCTTTCCTTCGTTTGCATTTTTCTTAGATTTAGTAGGTGAACATTTTAACGTAAATTTGGATTATTGTTGGGGATTAAGGAACATGCGAGTTGTTTGGACATATTGCCTGACTAGGATTTTTGGTTAGAACATCTAGTCTGAAGCTTGTTCTTCATTGCCTGACTAAGCTGATGGACATTGTAATGTACTAATATTTATTGCAGGCATGAAGCTGAATTACTTGCAGCTGCTGCACAACCTTTACCCGATGATGATGATGATGCATTCGATTAGTGACTTCAAAATCTGCATGCTTTTTCTGTTCGACTCTTCGCAGCGAGGTGCAGGTTCTGGTCGTTGGAACAACAGTCTGCAATTCATTTCCTTTTCTTGTTTTGATTAGATGGGTTGTATTGGCTGAAACACTGGCTTGTAGAGTTGCATTTAGATCATGTTCAATATCAATGTGTTTTAGTAATGAATACTAATTGACCTGCGATTATATTTGCAATTTTTATTTTGGGGAATTGATTAATGTGTCGCAGGGCAAAAAACTTATAGGATATAAAACCTATATATATCACCAAGTGGATTTTGTGATCTGTGAGTTTTCCTGGCAACCCAGTAAAGATCCATGCTTCTATACAATACGTGTAGAGATATAATCTCTTGAGGTGTCGAACACGTCCCATGGTTTGTGATGAAGGAGCCCCGAGCCATATAAGTGAGCGGATCACTTCATATATTAAGTGTTATTTTGGGTTGGAAACCCATGCCTAACATAATATACGAGTAAAATCATTTCGTGTCACCTTGAATACTCCCAACGGAGCTATCCTAGGTGAATTGGAGAGGCTCATCTGCAGGTTTTCGACCGCCAAATGAGATCATAAACGGTAACGCTTTTGCTGTTATGCAACATATCTGACGGTTCGAATTGTTAATGTCAGGGAGGGTGTGCACAAAAACTCGATTATCACGTAGATTCAGGGCTAATTGGGTTCATGATTGGCTTGTGTGTGTGTGTGTGAGAGAGAGAGAGAGAGATAGAGAGAGATGTACTTCTGGATCGCTGTGGAAATGAACAGCAGAATTGATCCAAGTCATTTGGTAGGTACCACACGGAACTGCTGCCGAGCCATTAGGGTTTACTCCTTTGGCGTCTATAAGCAATACTGAGTTCTACGAATTTGACCCAGGCACCTGGGAGCTGGGCCTCCCCTGGCCCAATGATCCTCTACTAATGCCAATGTTGTTTGGGTTTTTTTATGGGCTCATATCAAACAAACAGCTTGTGTGATGTTTACGATGCTGAATTGAGGCCCAAAGAGTTACTTGTTTTGTGTCATAGAAAATAAGAATTCACACCACACTAAACAGTAAGGATGTTGGTGACTGGTTCTGTATCCATACCAGTTGCTGTAAATAATTTTTTTTTAATAATTTATGGGTTTGTGTAATGATAAATTAATTAACTAAAAAATTACTTTGCACAAAACAAAAATGTTACTTGAATATAATTTAAAAACCTAATCCTATATTGAATTAGGTTCATGTCTCTGACTAAATTGTCAAATTAAATCTCAATAGCCTTGCTCTTATCAAAAACCACACCTTAACAGTAGTTTTGTATCACTTAATCTCGAAACTTTATAAAATCCAATCTCACTATTGAATTGTATCATTTAATATTTAAAAAATTTGAATAAGAGAAATTGGTACATTGGTTAGTGGCTTATTATAACTGAAAAAGAAGAACCGACAATCTCGATTGAGGATCAGCAAAAATGTACGGACGACCGGTGACACACATGCTGCAAAGTTGTTATCCATAGTCGGTATTACCCGACAAACCCGACCCTGTTTCGACTTCTTTTTTGATTTTCAAGTACTCGAATTCTTCGTTAGCCAAAAGTACCCTTGTTTGTCTTTGTTTTTGCTTCTATCTTCTTGCCCACCTCTTTTTAACATCCTTCATCTGTTGAATTAATTAAACCAAAGTAGTTTTCCTTGACCAAACCTAAGGGGTTCTATGTACAACTATATCTCGGGTTCCAGCTAAAGAATTATTTTTTTCAAAATCTCACACACAAACTAAGACACGATCTCTTCGTGAAACAATAATTTAATAAGGGCTCACAGAAAATCTCGTATGTATTAATTTCTAATTTTTCTAATATTCAAACTATACAACTTTATTAATAATGTTATAAGCTTGTAAAGTAATAATTGCATTGCGCTTGTTTATCTTGTGAAGATGAACTTCTAATATTCAAACTATAGAGTTTTATTAATGTTATTTAGACTTCTAAAGTAACTAATGTCATTGCCCTAGTTTATTTTGTGAACATCTGTTGTAAACAAGTAATTCAGTAGCTCCAACTTCTTCTTCTTCTTCTTCTTTTATCTCTTGACTAAATAGCTCCACCTTTATCAATGACCATGACAATTGAGCTGCATTACTATGAGGGGGGTGTGTGTGAGAGAGAGAGAGTCTTGAGCAGCTTGTATGACATAATTATAATTTGGCCATATACTGATAATTGCTTTCTCTTCCTCCTCCATATACTCACTAAAAGGGCATGCATGCTCTTTTCTTATAAGGACCTAATAATATTCACCTAAAAATATTAGGAAAGCACAAATGTAATCGTATTTCAAGCAATCAAACAAAACAAAATTGGGGATATGATCATCAATACACACCACCTTCATCAATACAGTAAAGTAAGAACTTACACTTAATCCTCCAAATTATATTTAAAAAAAAAAAAAAAGGTCATATAGCAGAATGAGCGTAGGTTGGTCATCTTGCATTACAACAAGAAGGATCATCATTGAACACAAGAAGATAAAAAGATATATAAGTGGTGAACTCTATAACCACCCAGCTGACCTATTGAACTATATATAGCTATTGTCCCCACTCTCTCTCTTCGTCTGAAAAGGACCACCACAACTTCGGCGTGCATGGCACACAACCATGTCACCTCTGATTTTTTTTTTTTTTTATCCCTAGCCACCTCTTCAAGATAGGAATGAATTTTGAAAATCGATCATTAACCACCAGAATTAGTTTAATTCAAAAAGAACTACTGACACTTGAATCCATGACATTTGAGTTTACTGTTTGTCCGAGACCGAGAGCCAATTAATTTTACGCATCCCAAATATGTTAATAATGCAAAACATATCTCAAGGGTGAGTCACTTTTGGAATAACATAAATTTGGAAACATTCATCGTTACTTTGACAAACCAAAATAAAATTTTGTACCGACCACAGCCAAAACAAAATCATTGCAAGGTCTGATCCAGTATCTTTTTGCTTTTCAGCTTCTTGCTAGGTTCGGATAAGCTGAGGTGGGGTACACAAGAGGTGAGAGAGGAGAGAGAATACAAAAATGTCAAGGTATGGACAAATAAGGATAAATGGTAGTCATAGTCAGACATCATGCAAAGCATTAAGGGCCGAGGTAGCTGGTTATAGCCTTGAGTTGCTATAACATGTACAGGCCTTTCAGGTAGACAAGAGAGGGCCTCTGGTTTTGTGTAGCTGTAACCCAATATGATAGGAATGCATGAGGCACAGTCTCTTTGATCTGCTTTGCCATGTTGCCAATGGCAATATGTGGTGGATAGTTCGAGATAACGAAACACCCGGTAAGAGTAGGGTTTATAATTCTTAACACAATAAGTAAATAAATGTCAATTTAATAGGTATAGGACTTAGTTTTAATCATGTAAAACATTACACAAACTCGATTATTTACTAAACGAGGGATCGGTTGATAAAGAGGGTGGGGTTTACACATTTGGGAAGGAGTCTTAGTCTAAATTGAGCCCATCTTTTCCAGCTGTATATGCAAGTCACTGCCAATTTGCTGGAGTCATGAATGACGCTCAGCAGAAATATGTATGCATCATGTGGTGACTGGAAACTACTCAAAACCACTCGAGTATACACATACGGGTCATGCATCGCCCATGAAGTCCTCAAAGCAATATATCCTCTGTTTCCTTGTCATAAAATGACAAATCACGTTGATGATCCTTAAAAAATGGAACTTGTAGCTTACTTTATTGACATTTCCGAAAGAAATTGAATAACCAAGTGAAAACAAGACCGGTAGAGCATAAAAACAAAGGTGTAATTGGATTTTGCACCATTTATGGTACAGTGCTGGCTTGAATGATGTTCAATGTCTTTGTCTTTACTCCTATGTCTGCGGGCTGGTTTCATGAAACCCTGTTGGTTCTTCATTTTTGTGTGCAATTTTCAAAAGAGTTGGGATAGTTTCAACTTTCAAGATCATTATAATTAAGTTGAACCCTTCTTTCTCCGGCATGCATTCATATGGTTCCGTTTATAATCATTGCAGCTCATGTGAGATTCAGGGTAAATGTAAACAATTGATGATTGTTGGATCAAACTCAAAAAATCGGTGTGATCAGCTGCGAAATTTCGTCTTGAAACCCCAATTACAGTACGTAGATCGATGTTGTGTTTTCAAAGGAAACAATAATAATTTGTAAAGTCAGTGGACTGAAGCACATGCAATCACACCCAAAAGGGTCCCCCTCTCGGAATAAGCTTCTGCATGAGGATCATGTTANTGTTGGATCAAACTCAAAAAATCGGTGTGATCAGCTGCGAAATTTCGTCTTGAAACTCCAATTACAGTACGTAGATCGATGTTGTGTTTTCAAAGGAAACAATAATAATTTGTAAAGTCAGTGGACAGAAGCACATGCAATCACACCCAAAAGGGTCCCCCTCTCGGAATAAGCTTCTGCATGAGGATCATGTTAATTTAGGGTTCAAATAAANGGAAACAATAATAATTTGTAAAGTCAGTGGACTGAAGCACATGCAATCACACCCAAAAGGGTCCCCCTCTCGGAATAAGCTTCTGCATGAGGATCATGTTAACAGATCTGGGCCTAATTAATTGACCACTAACATGTATCATGTATCATGCTTGGCTTCAACCTAGCACAAGAGAAGTCAAAAATATAGACGTGTTGAATATCTTTTGCGATATGTTTTTTTTATTTAGATTCACTAATTATTCTTGGCAGAACAATGATGGAATAAGATCTATGTAGGAGAATTTAATAACACCAGAGCTGCTGTGGCGAAAAAATTCAGAGAGAGAGGCTATCGGAGAGGGAGGCGATGATTTCAAAAGAGAGTTCAGAGAAAGGGTAATGTGCCGGAGAGAGAGAGGGCGTTGGCTAGGTGAGTTCATATAATCTTTTCTTATAGTGCTCTAACATTTTGAAGGAGATTCTGTTGAGTTGAATTGAGAATAATGCTCGGCTTCTGTCTAATTCAATGTTCACATTGGAATGAGGCACCCAAATTCCAAAACTAACGACCACACATCCATAAACAAAGATTATATGTGTTTGTGAGGGATTTGGAAGACCATTGAGGTGAAAATGGCCCCAATATGTTTTGGAACTATTAAGACAAGATTAGGGGGAAGTGCCCTAGCATGGGCCACCTATGGTTGGGACAAAACAGGCATAGCCCCCACGCTAAAACCGCAACAAGGTGCAATAAAATAGACAGTCTTGTTCCCGCATCCAACAATTGAAGAGCAACCTTCCAAATTCCAAACCCTTTTTGTGCCTCCTCTTCTGATCCAGAAATCATTTCTTTTTTTAACAAAGGAAGAAGCTGGGAGCCACAACCTTAGGAACCGTCTCTCTACTCTCCCTCCCTTAGATCATTCTGACTCGCCTTTTGCTTCTGTCAACGCCCATTTATCAACTCTTTTGTTTTTCTGTTTTAACGGCGAGTGTTCTGATCAACTTACATATATTTGATTAATCATCTTTTCAATTTGGTCAAAAATAAATCATCTATGTCAAGTTTAAAATATTTATAAGAAATAAATTTTTCATAGCCTAACCCCAAGAGATTATTAAAATTCGAAATCAAGATATTTAAATTTATAACTCATCTCTATTATTACTTGAACTATTTCTTANAACTTCCAAATGTTTTTCCATGTAAACAAATAATTACACAAGTGGGGTTCAACTTATTAACACGATATCGCCGTAACAGTGAATATTTACTCCTCCCTCGCAGACAATAAGGATTATTTCATTTTGAAATCAATTTCCTATTATTATTTTTTTAGGGGATTATCTGCACCAATTGCTGTGGGTCAAAAACATCCAACCGATGTTTTGGGTGTCAAAAATTTAAAAATAATTTCCCTTTATTCATTTTGCATTCATGTTTATTTTGTTTCCAAGTTTTGTTTCATGGTTAATTGGGAGTATTCTTTATTTTATTTCCTTTTCTGATTAGCATTCAATTTTTTTATTTTTATTTTCACATTCTATTAGGATTATAATTTATTTTATTTCATTTTCAAATTCTAAGGGTGTCTTCGGCTCTTAATTTTTTTTTTGTAACTTTTTTTTTGTAAATTTTTTTTAAAAAGAGTAAATAATTCTTAAAATTTTCTCCAATGTTAAACTCATATTTATATCAAATGAAGTGAAACCCTCTTTTAAACCTAAATTAAAGAAAAACTCAATGATTAAATTACACCTTCTTTTAAAGATTTAATAGTCGTATATACTCTTTTTTAAATATGAGTTTGTTTTCGTTTAAAAATGATTTCTCTTTTTTTAAATTTGAATTTTTTCATTAGAGAGGTCTATACCAAATCAAAATTTTTTACCTTTTTTTTAACTCAAAATTGGGCAAGAGTTTCAGTCTCCATCANACACCTTCTTTTAAAGATTTAATAGTCGTATATACTCTTTTTTAAATATGAGTTTGTCTTCGTTTAAAAATGATTTCTCTTTTTTTAAATTTGAATTTTTTCATTAGAGATGTCTATACTAAATCAAAATTTTTTACCTTTTTTTTAACTCAAAATTGGGCAAGAGTTTGAGTCTCCATAAAAGGTGTCTAATAGGATTATAGTTTATTTTGTTTCCAACTATTAGTATTATGGCTTATTTTGTTTCCTATATATTTACTCTCTCTCTAGCTCAAAGTGCAAACTCGAAGACAGATAAGAAGAAGAAAGCTGTGTCCATTTTGAGAGGAAACCATTGTTGAGGAAGGAAGTATGGAGGACTACTTCAACTGGTTTTTGTTTCTTTTCATTTCATATATTCTGCTGTTGCTCTTGTTTAAAGCTCTGTTCTACTTTTGGTGGAGACCTAGAAGAATTAAACAACACTTCTGTAAGCAAGGAATCAAAGGACCTAAATATCATTTCTTCATAGGCAACATAAAGGAGCTTGTGGCTTTGTCGTTGAGGGCTTCATCTAAANGGGCGTTAATTTAGCCGTTAGATTAACCTTAAAGTAAGATTTAAAACGATCTTAACCGCGAATAACAAAAGTCATTTTGTTTATTTTTGAAATTTGAATTATAAGTTATTTTATTATATAGATAGACAATTGATACACACACATATCTCATTACTTATGAGGGTTTTTATTTGATTTTGGGATAGTTAATGATACCCATGATGAGGAAGAGTATGGCCAAGATGTTGGACAAATGGTCGGCAAAGTCCTATGAAGGCAATGTGGAAATTGAAGTATCAGAATGTTTTGAAACTTTGGCAGAAGAAATCATCACGCGTACAGCCTTTGGGAGCAGCTATGAAGATGGAAGAGCAATTTTCGAATTACAAGCACAACAAATGGTTTATGCCACCGAGGCATTTCAGAAAGTCTTCATCCCCGGTTATAGGTACCATTTATGGCTGATTACACGTATCCCAACTTTATCTTGTAATCACGAGTCTATGTGATTTGAACGATTTCGGATTATTTTGAAGAAAAAAGAGAGTCTAACTACACTAGTTTGGTAGCAACTCAAAAGTAATGTAGTTGTGGTTTAATTTCCTTCTGTCTAGGTACAGTTAATTACATTTTCTGGATAACATGTATTAATTATTGTTAGATTTGTGTTTCAGGTTTTTACCGACCAAAAAGAACAGAAATTCTTGGAGATTGGAAACAGGTATTAGAAAATCTTTGTTGAAGCTCATCAATCAAAGGATTAAAAAGTACTCAAGCAACATGGTGGTGTCAGACGAATGTCCAAATGATTTATTAGAACTCATGATCAAAGCGAGCTTAACGGGAACAAACCAAACAAGTCCTCCCATCACCGTTCATGATATTGTTGAAGAATGCAAGACCTTCTTCTTCGCCGGAAAACACACGACGGCGAATCTGCTAACCTGGACCACCGTTCTCCTAGCAATGCACCCTCGATGGCAAGAACTGGCACGTGAGGAGGTTGTTAGGGTTTGTGGAGCACGTGATATCCCAAGTAAAGATGATGTTGGGAAGCTTAAGACGGTAAACACTAAAAACTAATTAGACACTTGTTTTTGTTACCTTCTGCATGTGTTAGAAGCAATCAAAAAAGTAACATCTTTGTCTTCATTAAAAAGCTATCCAAGTGTTTGTCTATATTGGAGAATTGTGCTATGGTCGTGAGTTCGAGAAAACATGAGTTGAACGGTTAATCAAACATTATTATTATAATAATAAGAATAAGAATAAGAATAAGAATAAGAACAAGAAGAAAAACANACTATATCTCTCTAAATCATTTGTGACGTAGAATGTATGGCTCCTTGCAGGTGCAAACCTTCTTGTATGGTTTGGACCTACGGCTCGTCTAATAATCTCTGATCCAAGTCTCATCAGAGAAATTTTCATTTTGAAGTCAGAGTTCTTCGAGAAAAATGAGTCGCCACCACACGTTAGAAAGCTTGAAGGTGATGGTTTGTTAACCCTCAACGGACAGAAATGGGCTTACCACAGAAAGATTATCACACCCACATTTCACATAGAAAATCTCAAAGTAAGTCCATCTATAATATCCAAAATTGCCAACATATAGAACACTGTCGTCGTCTCTCACATATATAATCACTAGCTATTACCTGTGATCGAAGACAGAGAGTAATAAAAAATAATAAATAATAAACATATTTGTATTCATATTCAAAATCAAATCACAAACATAGAGAAGAAATAAATGAATTAATTAGCAGTTTGTAGTGGGGGTGAGAGGTGGTGAGCGACAGTAGTGATGATAGAAGATGGTGATGATTGTGGTGGGTGGCAATGGGGGCGGGGGTGGTGGTGGCGACAGCCGTGGTGGTGGCGGTGGTGGTGACGGCTGCAGTGGCAGCGGCGACGGGGGTGATGGTGGTAGAGGTAGTGGTGAGACGGTTTCAAACACTATTTTTTTTTTAAATATTTATGAAAAATAATTTCTAAAAGTATTTTTAAAAAATCACTCCAAACACACCCTTAGGGCCTATTTTTGCTATTAAAGTGAGGGCGTTAATTTAGCCGTTAGATTAACCTTAAAGTAAGATTTAAAACGATCTTAACCGCGAATAACAAAAGTCATTTTGTTTATTTTTGAAATTTGAATTATAAGTTATTTTATTATATAGATAGACAATTGATACACACACATATCTCATTACTTATGAGGGTTTTTATTTGATTTTGGGATAGTTAATGATACCCATGATGAGGAAGAGTATGGCCAAGATGTTGGACAAATGGTCGGCAAAGTCCTATGAAGGCAATGTGGAAGTTGAAGTATCAGAATGTTTTGAAACTTTGGCAGAAGAAATCATCACGCGTACAGCCTTTGGGAGCAGCTATGAAGATGGAAGAGCAATTTTCGAATTACAAGCACAACAAATGGTTTATGCCACCGAGGCATTTCAGAAAGTCTTCATCCCCGGTTATAGGTACCATTTATGGCTGATTACACGTATCCCAACTTTATCTTGTAATCACGAGTCTATGTGATTTGAACGATTTCGGATTATTTTGAAGAAAAAAGAGAGTCTAACTACACTAGTTTGGTAGCAACTCAAAAGTAATGTAGTTGTGGTTTAATTTCCTTCTGTCTAGGTACAGTTAATTACATTTTCTGGATAACATGTATTAATTATTGTTAGATTTGTGTTTCAGGTTTTTACCGACCAAAAAGAACAGAAATTCTTGGAGATTGGAAACAGGTATTAGAAAATCTTTGTTGAAGCTCATCAATCAAAGGATTAAAAAGTACTCAAGCAACATGGTGGTGTCAGACGAATGTCCAAATGATTTATTAGAACTCATGATCAAAGCGAGCTTAACGGGAACAAACCAAACAAGTCCTCCCATCACCGTTCATGATATTGTTGAAGAATGCAAGACCTTCTTCTTCGCCGGAAAACACACGACGGCGAATCTGCTAACCTGGACCACCGTTCTCCTAGCAATGCACCCTCGATGGCAAGAACTGGCACGTGAGGAGGTTGTTAGGGTTTGTGGAGCACGTGATATCCCAAGTAAAGATGATGTTGGGAAGCTTAAGACGGTAAACACTAAAAACTAATTAGACACTTGTTTTTGTTACCTTCTGCATGTGTTAGAAGCAATCAAAAAAGTAACATCTTTGTCTTCATTAAAAAGCTATCCAAGTGTTTGTCTATATTGGAGAATTGTGCTACGGTCGTGAGTTCGAGAAAACATGAGTTGAACGGTTAATCAAACATTATAATAATAATAATAATAATAAGAATAAGAATAAGAACAAGAAGAAAAACAAAAAACAAAAAAAGAAGAACAATGCGACGTAATCAAATGATTTCTCTTCATGAACACTACTTTGTCTTTTTACTAAAAATTAGAGATATAATTTTTTGTATTTTAGAATGATGCACGATGTGAAAGAAGGAAATCTAGAACCTTAGTGTGTATATATATTGCTTGTTTAAAGGGTGGTTAGGGGCGATCAGGTGTAATAACCTCCAAGACATTATCTTGAGGTTTTCACCTGTTATAAAATGTTCAATTTGAATCATAACTATTGACTTGAGATGGTTGAGTCCATCATCACAAAACCACAGAGGACAAATTCAAAATCAGCTCCTCTAGTAATATCGGTTCGAAGGAATTACTACCACAAGCAGGACAACTTTAGAAATCATCAAATACAATTTATGAAGGGCATTTTGAAGATAATAAAACTAATTATTGGGGGCTTAAAAAATATTTAACGAGATATTAAGTGAGAGCTAGGTGATAATACAAGGTCCGTAGTGTGTAGTAATAATATTAATTCAATTTTCTTACATGCAGTTGGGAATGATACTGAATGAATCACTAAGGTTGTACCCTCCAGCCGTGGCAGCAATTCGACGGACCAAAGTCGATGCACAACTTGGAAGTCTGAAAATCCCTCGTGGGACCGAACTCCTAATTCCGATCCTGGCCGTCCATCATGATCCGGGACTGTGGGGCGACGACGTGACTGAATTTAATCCAGCACGATTCGCTCATGGTGTGGCCCACGCTGCGAAGTATCCAATGGCATTCATTCCATTTGGGGTCGGGGCCCGCGGATGCATCGGGCAAAATCTAGCAATTTTGCAGGCGAAATTAGCAATTGCCATGATCTTGCAACGTTTCTCATTTGATCTTGCACCCACCTACCAACATGCTCCTGCAGTTCTGATGCTTCTTTATCCACAATATGGTGCACCCATCATCTTCCAAAAATTGTGATTCCATGTGCCTGCATATTGGTACGAAATATTTCAGAGCTGAATCATATATACTTTGTCTATTTTTCTTATTATATTTTCCATTAATATGTAGTTTTATTTCATTAGGCTAGTTCATAATTTTTTTCATTTCTTGAAGAATGTTTTTAACGATTCTTTTTTAATTGCATACTTGTTTGTATGAAATTAAGTAATTGTCAATTTATATAAAATTTTGAAGCCCACAAGGTCACTAGCTTTTATTNAGGGTTTTTATTTGATTTTGGGATAGTTAATGATACCCATGATGAGGAAGAGTATGGCCAAGATGTTGGACAAATGGTCGGCAAAGTCCTATGAAGGCAATGTGGAAATTGAAGTATCAGAATGTTTTGAAACTTTGGCAGAAGAAATCATCACGCGTACAGCCTTTGGGAGCAGCTATGAAGATGGAAGAGCAATTTTCGAATTACAAGCACAACAAATGGTTTATGCCACCGAGGCATTTCAGAAAGTCTTCATCCCCGGTTATAGGTACCATTTATGGCTGATTACACGTATCCCAACTTTATCTTGTAATCACGAGTCTATGTGATTTGAACGATTTCGGATTATTNTTAATATTAGAGGTAAGGCTGTTAATCATGATTTACTTTTTTCATACATCTCTATAAACTAGAGTCTTGTACATCAGGTATGAAAACGAGATAATCTTTATCAAGTATAGAGTACTCGNTTAATATTAGAGGTAAGGCTGTTAATCATGATTTACTTTTTTCATACATCTCTATAGACTAGAGTCTTGTATATCAGGTATGAAAACGAGATAATTTTTATCAAGTATAGAGTACTGGNACTAATTAGACACTTGTTTTTGTTACCTTCTGCATGTGTTAGAAGCAATCAAAAAAGTAACATCTTTGTCTTCATTAAAAAGCTATCCAAGTGTTTGTCTATATTGGAGAATTGTGCTACGGTCGTGAGTTCGAGAAAACATGAGTTGAACGGTTAATCAAACATTATAATAATAATAATAATANTTTTGAAGAAAAAAGAGAGTCTAACTACACTAGTTTGGTAGCAACTCAAAAGTAATTTAGTTGTGGTTTAATTTCATTCTGTCTAGGTACAGTTAATTACATTTTCTGGATAACATGTATTAATTATTGTTAGATTTGTGTTTCAGGTTTTTACCGACCAAAAAGAACAGAAATTCTTGGAGATTGGAAACAGGTATTAGAAAATCTTTGTTGAAGCTCATCAATCAAAGGATTAAAAAGTACTCAAGCAACATGGTGGTGTCAGACGAATGTCCAAATGATTTATTAGAACTCATGATCAAAGCGAGCTTAACGGGAACAAACCAAACAAGTCCTCCCATCACCGTTCATGATATTGTTGAAGAATGCAAGACCTTCTTCTTCGCCGGAAAACACACGACGGCGAATCTGCTAACCTGGACCACCGTTCTCCTAGCAATGCACCCTCGATGGCAAGAACTGGCACGTGAGGAGGTTGTTAGGGTTTGTGGAGCACGTGATATCCCAAGTAAAGATGATGTTGGGAAGCTTAAGACGGTAAACACTAAAAACTAATTAGACACTTGTTTTTGTTACCTTCTGCATGTGTTAGAAGCAATCAAAAAAGTAACATCTTTGTCTTCATTAAAAAGCTATCCAAGTGTTTGTCTATATTGGAGAATTGTGCTACGGTCGTGAGTTCGAGAAAACATGAGTTGAACGGTTAATCAAACATTATAATAATAATAATAATAATAAGAATAAGAATAAGAACAAGAAGAAAAACAAAAAACAAAAAAAGAAGAACAATGCGACGTAATCAAATGATTTCTCTTCATGAACACTACTTTGTCTTTTTACTAAAAATTAGAGATATAATTTTTTGTATTTTAGAATGATGCACGATGTGAAAGAAGGAAATCTAGAACCTTAGTGTGTATATATATTGCTTGTTTAAAGGGTGGTTAGGGGCGATCAGGTGTAATAACCTCCAAGACATTATCTTGAGGTTTTCACCTGTTATAAAATGTTCAATTTGAATCATAACTATTGACTTGAGATGGTTGAGTCCATCATCACAAAACCACAGAGGACAAATTCAAAATCAGCTCCTCTAGTAATATCGGTTCGAAGGAATTACTACCACAAGCAGGACAACTTTAGAAATCATCAAATACAATTTATGAAGGGCATTTTGAAGATAATAAAACTAATTATTGGGGGCTTAAAAAATATTTAACGAGATATTAAGTGAGAGCTAGGTGATAATACAAGGTCCGTAGTGTGTAGTAATAATATTAATTCAATTTTCTTACATGCAGTTGGGAATGATACTGAATGAATCACTAAGGTTGTACCCTCCAGCCGTGGCAGCAATTCGACGGACCAAAGTCGATGCACAACTTGGAAGTCTGAAAATCCCTCGTGGGACCGAACTCCTAATTCCGATCCTGGCCGTCCATCATGATCCGGGACTGTGGGGCGACGACGTGACTGAATTTAATCCAGCACGATTCGCTTATGGTGTGGCCCACGCTGCGAAGTATCCAATGGCATTCATTCCATTTGGGGTCGGGGCCCGCGGATGCATCGGGCAAAATCTAGCAATTTTGCAGGCGAAATTAGCAATTGCCATGATCTTGCAACGTTTCTCATTTGATCTTGCACCCACCTACCAACATGCTCCTGCAGTTCTGATGCTTCTTTATCCACAATATGGTGCACCCATCATCTTCCAAAAATTGTGATTCCATGTGCCTGCATATTGGTACGAAATATTTCAGAGCTGAATCATATATACTTTGTCTATTTTTCTTATTATATTTTCCATTAATATGTAGTTTTATTTCATTAGGCTAGTTCATAATTTTTTTCATTTCTTGAAGAATGTTTTTAACGATTCTTTTTTAATTGCATACTTGTTTGTATGAAATTAAGTAATTGTCAATTTATATAAAATTTTGAAGCCCACAAGGTCACTAGCTTTTATTAATATTAGAGGTAAGGCTGTTAATCATGATTTACTTTTTTCATACATCTCTATAAACTAGAGTCTTGTACATCAGGTATGAAAACGAGATAATCTTTATCAAGTATAGAGTACTGGATGCCTCGAGTTCGAATTTTGATATTCCTAATTAAAAAGGAGATAAGTGAAGCAAAAAACCAAAGGGGTATGGAGAATAGCTCTCCATAAAGTCAGAACGGCTGCCAAAACACACAAATCCAGCAAAACTTCAAACCCATGCAATGCACCACATCAACCATATGTAACAAAACAAGTCCCTGAGCTAGAACTACGCTGTCACTTTAGAAAAAAAAAATTAAAGAGCTATTACAAACTTTGATTACTGAAATTATTGTAACCCACTAATGTTAGTGTTGCAACTAAGGCATTGAGAAAAGAGTAACCAGAGATATCCACCACTGATACACAAAATTCACATTGTACTATCCATTAATGCACAAAAATCTTCATTAGCATAAAGCAATGTCAACAAATTAATAAACCATATATGGCAATTCTACCATTCTTGGTATCCTTCACATTTGAATTACAGCATAAGCCTCAGGGTCGTCAGTTCAGCAAGCCCCAAGTCAGTGGAAGCTTCCCACCGGGTAAATTCTATCAGTATCCTCACCAAGCGGCTCACTAGCCACACGGTAGCCCTCAGCAGCACCAGTCAAGATAACTTGACAAGCTTATATGCCCTTTAGGTTAACCAGAAGCAGAGAGAACACCACCGATTTCTAACAACAATGCATCATTGTTCCCAGGATTTTGCAAAATGAGGATCACCAAGATCTTGCATCAAAGCCAGAGGATAGGACAATTTGGTAGTCCAAACTCGTACTTGTTCAAAATATTTGCAAAAAAATTCTGTAGCCAAAATTCAATCTGAAAAACTAATCAGGACATTCTCTCCACACATTATTAGACCACAAGACGCTGCATTTTGGTAAAATAGGCAAAAACGAAATGCAGCACAATTGCATAAAGGCGAGTTTGCAAAGAATTGAAAGAATAAATAAGCACTGATTCATTCTCAAAATTATTAACAAGAGGGTAAGATTTTATAAACGTGTGTTAAAAAAACAATGGGAAAATATACAAAGAAAGAAGAACCCTTTAACTATGTTTAACAAACAGGAGTCCTACCATAAGATTGTAGCTCTAGCCTATGATCTCCTGTAAATGATTCAGCGTCACTATAATATTGAATCTCAGCATCTTCACTATGATTTGTTTCAAAGCTATAGGGAACCTTATAAAAAACATTGCCATTAATAACACTACAACTAGCCATGGATGATGCACCACTATTAGTATCATCAGATGCAGAAGTTTCCCAATCATGACTAAAATCGAACCTGTTTCGTGTTTCTGTTTCCCTACTGGCATCCATCATTTCAAAGCAGCTAGGCATTCCAATACGCGAAGAATGCCTATATTCGTCACTCAATTTTCCTTGCGGGGATGTGTATGCAACCACCTTTTTGAGCATTGGTGTTGAATGTTTAGGAAACATTTGTTGATGGCTCCATTCTTTTTCAACTCTTCTTGCCCTCTGAACATGAATAAAAAGCAAAATTCCAGAAAAAAATCAATACAATAGGCAACATAAGGAAAGAAAAATAAACAGATATTGGATGAGATGTATACCTTGCCTAGAACAAGCCATTTCCCGTTTATCCAACACTGTCTAGCCCTGAGGAGAGATTTGTGGACAATGAGCTCCTGACAAACTCCAAGCAGCCTAACTAGGAAAGTATTCACACCCCCAGTTTTCACAATTGAAGCTGCCTTCCAAGACATATTATCAAACACCTCGACATGATCACCCGGAAACCAATTATCAGAACCTTTGGCAAGTGGAGGGCAAGGCCTGATGTCCTTCCTAGGCACCCTCTCGACGAATGCCTCGCTAGTCATGGGAAAACAGTCATATGTCACACTGTATGTGTGGCCATTCCCTGAGATTATTTCAGCAGAAAGCCATGAGCCTTTCCAGACTTCCTTTCTGCTTAATACCTCCACTTTACTCCCTTTTGTTAATCTCATGATGATTGTACTTTCAGAACCACAAACCTGTCAGAAGAGACATCAAAACATTATAAATCCTACACAGGTTAATAAGGAAATTCTGGGAATCTATAATTAAACTAAAAGATTGAGCACATGTTCCAGAAATCATGTCTTTAATGCAGCACGAAGAATTGCCTATCCCTAGGCTAAAAGTTATAAGTAATCTTAAAAAATCATAAAGATATATTGATTGAATTCAACCGTGACATCTTAAAATACATATGAAACAAACACCATAAAAGAAATTTTCATGACTAAAATCACTAATAGACAACTACAAATCAATCGATTATGTTAAATTAAATCTGAAACGTGAACTACGTTACGAGATTGAATCTTGATGAAAAAAAAAAAAGAAGCAATCATAGCCAAAATAAAAAATTGGAAATACAACGGAAAGAAGAGAAATTACTAACCTTGATGATTCTTGGGACCTTCGAAAAAACCGCAAGCTTTGCTGCAAATACTTCTTGGAGGCTCTTCTCGGATACTATGATTGAAAAGAGTACGGCACAAAATAAGAATTGAAAATTGAAATAAAAATGTTTTTGCTTTCATGTTTTGTATAGGATGCGGCAAAGTACACGCGTGACCTGTTCGAACAAGGATTGTGTTACTTGTGGCCCAAGGCGGCAATTTGGGCTAACTCAAATAGGTTGCACTACTTATGGGCTTATGGTTTGTAATTTGGGTTCAAATCAACTGGGCTTTTGAAGTTTCTAGTGGACCGGTCACGTGAAGGATAAAATACATTGATAGTCCCNCCAAGGCGGCAATTTGGGCTAACTCAAATAGGTTGCACTACTTATGGGCTTATGGTTTGTAATTTGGGTTCAAATCAACTGGGCTTTTGAAGTTTCTAGTGGACCGGTCTCAACTTTTGAAGTTTGCGTCAGTTTGATCCCTAATCTTTGAATTGTGTCAATTTAGTCCCTCAACTTTTTAATTTGTGTCATTTTGTTTTAATAAAAAATAGCAGTTTGAATTGACTAACAGGATGTTCACTTGAGGGGTAACTTTGGTCCCTTAAATTTGTTATTTGGATCATTTTTGGTCCTTCAAATTTATAGTTTTTGTCATTTTTGTTCCAAAAATTTTCAACAAATGTGTTTTAAGTGTGATCAAGTGAGATACATGTGACAATCTCTATTAGTAAATTTCAATTGTCNGGATGTTCACTTGAGGGGTAACTTTGGTCCCTTAAATTTGTTATTTGGATCATTTTGGTCCTTCAAATTTATAGTTTTTGTCATTTTTGTTCCAAAATTTTTCAACAAATGTGTTTTAAGTGTGATCAAGTGAGATACATGTGACGATCTCTATTAGTAAATTTCAATTGCCGTTTTTGAATGGACCAAACTGACACAAGTGCTTAGTTTGGAGACCAATTTATATATTTTACCCAAACTGTAAATGAGGACTAAAATTTAACCAGATCAAATTTTGTAAATGTAGTATCGGTTAAACATTACTAATGGTTCTCAGTGTTCTGTTGCAATGAATAGAAAAGTAAAAACACAATTTTGTAAGTAGGCATGAGTTTATGTACATCTCATCATTTCTAGACCTATAGTAACAGAAGCCGTGTGCACTTGATTTCGAAGAGACGTTTCTCAGGTAAAAAGTAGTGGCGGACCAGTGAGTCACAAAATTTACTATCCTCCCCAATTCTTCTACATTTTTCCACCCCATCAATTGGGATATTCCATATAAAGAATTATAGTAATTATGGAGAACAAACAAATATTCTTTAAAAAATTTAAAGGAGTGGTAGTTAATTAGAGGGGTGGAGAGTTAGTCATACGAGGCATGTGGTAGAATAAGATTAGATAAAACTTTATGTTGTAATTAAGCAAATTCAAATTCTAAGAAAAAATAAAATGAAGAGGAAATACTGTGCATTCATTCAGACTTGAAGTTAACTCTCCTCATATGGGAAGTGTACAATGTAAAATGGCTTCAAGTTTTGCTACTGTAGAGGTCAGACACATAGTAGCTGCTTGAAATTCTCTGGTTTATTGTGGGTGCAATGTTCTTAGGCATCAAGAACAGAGTAATAAGATTTGCAGCCAAAGAAAAAGCGCAAGGAGATCCACTAACAATAAACAAAATTCACATTACACTCTCGGGTTTTGTTCACAACAATCTCATCAAACTACCTGAATGCAACAATCTCTCTTATTTAATAAAATTTCCGGCAGGCCATAAAGCTTGTAGCATAAGCCCTGGTGGCGCTGCCAACTGTGTCAGCAAAGCTCTACCGTGAACCTCCACTTTCATGTCACAGTAGCCTCAACAAAGCAACCAAACATGGAAAACAAGGCAAGTCTACCATTCTTGATGTCATTTACCTAGACTTACAGAAAAAGCCTCAAGATCATTAGCCTTCCATTGGGGTAAAGGGTGTCAGTAACCTCACCAAGCTGGCCCAGTCGGCAACAAGGTAGCCATCAAAAACACCCATAACAATTAACTTGACAAGCCCATATGCCCTTTGGTTTAAGGATGGTGGAGAGCGCGGCAACAATTTCTAGCAACAATGCATCATTGTGCCCAGGTTTCTGCGCAATGTTGATCACCAAGATCTAGCATCAATGCCTAAGTATAGCAAATTTGGTAGACCAAACTCGAACTTTTGAATGACCACAATTGTGTACAAATTCTGCTACAGAAGTTCAATCTGAGAAACCTATCAGAACATTCTCTACACGCAGACTTATAGCACACAAGCTGCTGGATGTTTATATTATGCCACAACAACTGAAAGCAGGAAATAAATCACAGTGACTTATGGTAAATATGCAAAGAAGGAAACTAAATGGAATTAAACAGTTAGCTTAAAGGGAAATCTATGAGAAAAGCCTTGAACGAATAAATGAACGTTGATTCATCATCGATATCATTAACAATAGAGTACCAATTTAAAAGCCACAAAATTTCCAAATGGCTATTTACAAATCCCTGACTTAATTAACATTAAACATATGTGCTAAAAAAAAACAAAGGGGAAACAAAGAAAGAAGAATCCCTTAACTATGTTCAACAGACAGGAGTTCTGCAATAGGATTGTAGCTCTAGCATATGATTGCCTGCCCCCATTGGGCCAGTAAATGATTCAGTGTCACTATAATATTGACTATCAGCATCTTCAGTATGATTTGTTCCAAGGCCAAAGGGAACCTTATAATAAACATGGCCATTAATAACACTACAACTACCCATGGATGATGCACTACTATCAGCATCATTAGATGCAGAAGTTCCCGAATCAAGGCTAAAATGAAACATGTTTCGTGTTTCTGTTTCCCTATCAGCATCCATTTCAGAGGGTCTAGGCATTCCAATACCAGAAGTATATTTGTTACTCAATTTTTCTTGTTGGGATATATATGCATCTACCTTTTCGAGCATTGGTGTTGAACACTCACAAAACATTTGTTGATGACTCCATTCTTTTTCAAATGATCTCGCCTTCTGTTCACATGAAAGAAAGCAAGTTTTAGAAAAATCAAGACAATCAAGGCAATGTAAGGTAAGAAAAGGAGACAGACATTGGATGAAATATTACCTTCCCTAGAATGATCCATTTCCCGTTTATCCAACACTGCCGAGCCCTGAGATGAGATTTGTGGACACTGAACTCTTGACAAACTCCAAGTAGCCTAACTAGGAAATCATTCACACCCAAAGCCTTCACAATTAAAGCAGCCTTCCAGGACATCATGTGAAAAACCTCCACATGATCACCTAGAACCCAAATATCCGAACCTTCCACAGGTGGAGGGCAAGGCCTGATGTCCTTCCTCGGCACCCTCTCCACTAATGCCTCACCAATCATTGAAAAACAGTCATATCTCACAATGTATGTGTGGCCATTCCCCGAGATTATTTCAGCACAAAGCCATGAGCCTCTACTGCCCTCCTTTCTGCTTAAGACCTCCACTTTACTCCCTTTTGTTAATCTCATGTTGGTTGTACTTCGAAAACAAACAAAATTCACAAGCATGTCACAAGAAAAATCAAAAAATTATTAATCTGTGTAAGTTATGAAATTTAATTTATATTTTCTCTGTCCATGGTATGAACCACTTTTACCCACAAATATGTAGAACAGATCTAATTTATTGACCTAATTAATAACCGTTGTTGGATTGATCGGGGACCAAATGCTACCAACCTTACACATGCTACCAATACAATAGTTGTGGTAGATTGGGTTAATTAATAAATTAGGTTAACAAAATTAAAATGAATTAGGTTCATAGTGTTATTGAAAAATTTACGCATTTTAATATGGAAGACAGAAATTTTCACAATTGAAATCTGTATAAAGCGACATGCATGTATCGATCGAGTAACATTACTTTTGTAAACCTGAAATAACTTGTACTGATTAGACTAACATAACAGGATTGAATCTTGATAGAAAAGAATCATTCATCGTTGGATGGACTATCGGAAATAGAATTGATTAGCTATGAATAACAACTCATTTACTAACCTTGATGATTGTTGCGACCTTCAAAAAGAACAAGCTTTTTCGAATGCTTCTTGGATCCTGTGGAAAGACTGTAGTTCTGAATGAGAATTGAGAGTTGTGACCGTGTTTCTGATTGCTATGTTTATATATATAACGGCAGAGTTAGAGTACATAACTTACCTCTTCGAACAAGGAGTACATAACGTGACTTCTTGAAACAAGGAGTGGGTTGTTGGACAAGGCGGTAATTTGGGAGTTAAACCCTCTCTAATACACCTTTTCTTTAATTTTTTTTCTTTATACATTATTTGTCATGCATTTAAATAAAATTTAGGAAATATTTTAATGACACCCCCTCTAGTTTACCATATCTTCAAGAACACCCCTCTAGTTTCTGAATCTTCAACAACACCCCTTCTAGTTTAATTTAAACATCACTAACACCTCCTACCATTAAATTATTATTTCTAACAAAATAAATTCATCTAAAATACCAAAAATGTCACTACATAACCTCAAATAATTTTTTTACATAAAATTTTATTAAAATTCGAGCTGTTAAAATTTTTAAAAAAATCATAAATAACAATTTTAGTAAATAATTTGTTAGTAAATACAAATTTTTTATTTACTAATTAATAAATTTAAAAAAATTGAGCCTATTAAAATTGTTTTTTACATATTAAAATTTGAGCCGATTTGAACTCTATTCGAGTTGTTAGGGCCAATTAAAATTCTTTTTCTAGTCGATTATAATTTATATTTTTTTTTATTAAAATTTGTGTCAATTAAAATTAGATTTATTAAAATTTAGACTAATTAAAATTCAATGCGAATTAATTAAAATTTGATTTGAATCGATTAAAAATAATTTTTAATTGGCTCAAACAAAATTTTAATTAGCCCAAATTATAATACGTAAAAAAATTATAATTTTTAATTGGCACAAGTTTTAATATGTAAAAAAATTAATTTTAATTAGCTTGAATTGAATTTTAATCGATTTGAATTTAATTACGTAAAAAAAATTAGAAAACAAATGAGGTCTTATTCAAAATATACTTATCTAGAGGGAGTCTTATTGAAGATATGTTTATCTAGAAGGGGTGTGGATAAAGTTTGTCTTTAAATATATCATAGGCAATTTAATAAAATTACATTCTACTTAATATTTTTAATCTGACAGGGAGTGTCATTGAAGATTCAGAAACTAGAGAAGGTGTCCTTGAAGATATGATAAATTATAGGGGGTGCAGTTAAAATTTTTCCTAAAATTTATTATATATANAGCCTTGAACGAATAAATGAACGTTGATTCATCATCGATATCATTAACAATAGAGTACCAATTTAAAAGCCACAAAATTTCCAAATGGCTATTTACAAATCCCTGACTTAATTAACATTAAACATATGTGCTAAAAAAAAACAAAGGGGAAACAAAGAAAGAAGAATCCCTTAACTATGTTCAACAGACAGGAGTTCTGCAATAGGATTGTAGCTCTAGCATATGATTGCCTGCCCCCATTGGGCCAGTAAATGATTCAGTGTCACTATAATATTGACTATCAGCATCTTCAGTATGATTTGTTCCAAGGCCAAAGGGAACCTTATAATAAACATGGCCATTAATAACACTACAACTACCCATGGATGATGCACTACTATCAGCATCATTAGATGCAGAAGTTCCCGAATCAAGGCTAAAATGAAACATGTTTCGTGTTTCTGTTTCCCTATCAGCATCCATTTCAGAGGGTCTAGGCATTCCAATACCAGAAGTATGCATATATTTGTTACTCAATTTTTCTTGTTGGGATATATATGCATCTACCTTTTCGAGCATTGGTGTTGAACACTCACAAAACATTTGTTGATGACTCCATTCTTTTTCAAATGATCTCGCCTTCTGTTCACATGAAAGAAAGCAAGTTTTAGAAAAATCAAGACAATCAAGGCAATGTAAGGTAAGAAAAGGAGACAGACATTGGATGAAATATTACCTTCCCTAGAATGATCCATTTCCCGTTTATCCAACACTGCCGAGCCCTGAGATGAGATTTGTGGACACTGAACTCTTGACAAACTCCAAGTAGCCTAACTAGGAAATCATTCACACCCAAAGCCTTCACAATTAAAGCAGCCTTCCAGGACATCATGTGAAAAACCTCCACATGATCACCTAGAACCCAAATATCCGAACCTTCCACAGGTGGAGGGCAAGGCCTGATGTCCTTCCTTGGCACCCTCTCCACTAATGCCTCACCAATCATTGAAAAACAGTCATATCTCACAATGTATGTGTGGCCATTCCCCGAGATTATTTCAGCACAAAGCCATGAGCCTCTACTGCCCTCCTTTCTGCTTAAGACCTCCACTTTACTCCCTTTTGTTAATCTCATGTTGGTTGTACTTCGAAAACAAACAAAATTCACAAGCATGTCACAAGAAAAATCAAAAAATTATTAATCTGTGTAAGTTATGAAATTTAATTTATATTTTCTCTGTCCATGGTATGAACCACTTTTACCCACAAATATGTAGAACAGATCTAATTTATTGACCTAATTAATAACCGTTGTTGGATTGATCGGGGACCAAATGCTACCAACCTTACACATGCTACCAATACAATAGTTGTGGTAGATTGGGTTAATTAATAAATTAGGTTAACAAAATTAAAATGAATTAGGTTCACAGTGTTATTGAAAAATTTACGCATTTTAATATGGAAGACAGAAATTTTCACAATTGAAATCTGTATAAAGCGACATGCATGTATCGATCGAGTAACATTACTTTTGTAAACCTGAAATAACTTGTATTGATTAGACTAACATAACAGGATTGAATCTTGATAGAAAAGAATCATTCATCGTTGGATGGACTATCGGAAATAGAATTGATTAGCTATGAATAACAACTCATTTACTAACCTTGATGATTGTTGCGACCTTCAAAAAGAACAAGCTTTTTCGAATGCTTCTTGGATCCTGTGGAAAGACTGTAGTTCTGAATGAGAATTGAGAGTTGTGACCGTGTTTCTGATTGCTATGTTTATATATATAACGGCAGAGTTAGAGTACATAACTTACCTCTTCGAACAAGGAGTACATAACGTGACTTCTTGAAACAAGGAGTGGGTTGTTGGACAAGGCGGTAATTTGGGAGTTAAACCCTCTCTAATACACCTTTTCTTTAATTTTTTTTCTTTATACATTATTTGTCATGCATTTAAATAAAATTTAGGAAAAATTTTAATGACACCCCCTCTAGTTTACCATATCTTCAAAGACACCCCTCTAGTTTCTGAATCTTCAACAACACCCCTTCTAGTTTAATTTAAACATCACTAACACCTCCTACCATTAAATTATTATTTCTAACAAAATAAATTCATCTAAAATACCAAAAATGTCACTACATAACCTCAAATAATTTTTTTACATAAAATTTTATTAAAATTCGAGCTGTTAAAATTTTTAAAAAAATCATAAATAACAATTTTAGTAAATAATTTGTTAGTAAATACAAATTTTTTATTTACTAATTAATAAATTTAAAAAAATTGAGCCTATTAAAATTTTNTTTAGTAAATAATTTGTTAGTAAATACTAATTTTTTATTTACTAATTAATAAATTTAAAAAAAAATTGAGCCTATTAAAATTGTNAAACATATTCATGGTGAGATAGCATGTCATCAATGGAAACTAGTCTTGATCAAATTTTCATGATTAAATCTAACTACGCTAACATTATCAAATTGAGAAACTGAACACATAAAATTTGAATNTTACTAATTAATAAATTTAAAAAAATTGAGCCTATTAAAATTGTTTTTTACATATTAAAATTTGAGCCGATTTGAACTCTATTCGAGTTGTTAGGGCCAATTAAAATTCTTTTTCTAGTCGATTATAATTTATATTTTTTTTTATTAAAATTTAGACTGNTTATATTTTTTTTTATTAAAATTTGTGTCAATTAAAATTAGATTTATTAAAATTTAGACTAANGATAACTAATCAAATTTTGTGCTCAAATTAAAATTGAATCTAACCAAGTCAACTATTTAAATTAATTTTCCTATTCAATTCAAACCAAATTTCATCAGCTAAGTTAATTTTATGTTGCACAAATTTGTCCCAAGAGTTTTACCCCACTAACACCCACGCATTACAATTTCGAGATTAACTATCATCACTAAGACCACTATCATTATCACTTCCAGACCTAAAACATATCTTCAGTAACCATCGGTACTGCTTTGAGAAGGCGAGCTNATAATACGTAAAAAAATTATAATTTTTAATTGGCACAAGTTTTAATATGTAAAAAAATTAATTTTAATTAGCTTGAATTGAATTTTAATCGATTTGAATTTAATTACGTAAAAAAAATTAGAAAACAAATGAGGTCTTATTCAAAATATACTTATCTAGAGGGAGTCTTATTGAAGATATGTTTATCTAGAAGGGGTGTGGATAAAGTTTGTCTTTAAATATATCATAGGCAATTTAATAAAATTACATTCTACTTAATATTTTTAATCTGACAGGGAGTGTCATTGAAGATTCAGAAACTAGAGGAGGTGTCCTTGAAGATATGATAAATTATAGGGGGTGCAGTTAAAATTTTCCCTAAAATTTATTATATAGANTAGATATACGAGAAAATTTCATCCAGATCCCCTGTAGTTTGGTCTAGATTTAATGATACCTCCTTCTAATTTTGAAATTTCATTGTCACTCCCTATTAGTGATTATCGAGTTATACCATTAATTGCGACGGTTGATTTATAGAAATACCCTGAGTATTTTATAAGGTAAATTTTATTCACACCTCTTATAAATAGACCTAACTCTAACAACACTCTTTCTTGATTCTGAAATTTCAATGCACTCTCTTTTAGTTCTATTATATTAACGTTTATTTTGATCAATTTAATATTCAATTTTATCAAATTAATTTTTTTTATTTAATTTAAACTAAATTAACATTTCATCTCATCNTATCAAGTAAAGATATTTTTCATATGTCATACTTAAACATATTCATGGTGAGATAGCATGTCATCAATGGAAACTAGTCTTGATCAAATTTTTATGATTAAATCTAACTACGCTAACATTATCAAATTGAGAAACTGAATACATAAAATTTGAGTCCTATAAAGAATTCAAGTAAAATCCTCTAAAAACACAACTATACAAAACTATTACCACTAATACCACTTAACCTAAATTTTGATAACTAATCAAATTTTGTGCTCAAATTAAAATTGAATCTAACCAAGTCAACTATTTAAATTAATTTTCCTATTCAATTCAAACCAAATTTCATCAGCTAAGTTAATTTTATGTTGCACAAATTTGTCCCAAGAGTTTTACCCCACTAACACCCACCCATTACAATTTCGAGATTAACTATCATCACTAAGACCACTATCATTATTACTTCCAGACCTAAAACATATCTTCAGTAACCATCGGTACTGCTTTGAGAAGGCGAGTTTACTTTTAACTAAAATCCAAGCCAAAATAATGTATCAAATTGACAACAAATCAAATGAACTATAAGACATAACTTGTGCCTGAAGGGCACGATAGAACAAAAAATTTGAGTCCTAAAAAATCGATATCACTAAATTAAATAATAATTTTTATTTCCTTCATTTATATGATTAAATCATTCAAAATTTATTTTTACCCATCATTTTCTTAAAGATATTGACAAAAAAATTTCAAAATATGTAATTCGATAATTTTTTTTAACAGATCTATACTATCGTATATGAATAATATCTGAAATAAAATTATATTAAATTATAAATTAATCAAATATTAAATGATTGAGTATGTGATAGAAATAAGTGATGTGATGGTTTTAGATGAGGAAATGTATAAGGGATAAAATTCAACTTCCTTTGTATTTTATTATATAGATTTGTATAGATATACGAGAAAATTTCATCCAGATCCCCTGTAGTTTGGTCTAGATTTAATGACACCTCCTTCTAATTTTGAAATTTTATTGTCACTCCCTATTAGTGATTATCGAGTTACACCATTAATTGCGACGGTTGATTTATAGAAATACCCTGAGTATTTTATAGGGTAAATTTTATTCACACCTCTTATAAATAGACCTAATTCTAACAACACTCTTTCTTGATTCTGAAATTTCAATGCACTCTCTTTTAGTTCTATTATATTAACGTTTATTTTGATCAATTTAATATTCAATTTTATCAAATTAATTTTTTTTATTTAATTTAAACTAAATTAACATTTCATCTCATCTCATCAAATCAACACAAAATTGATATTTAATTTTATCAAATTAACATTTAGTTATATTAATTTAATATTTCATTTCATCAAATCAATATTATTTATTTTATTTAATATTAAGTTATTAATTTATCAAATCAACATCAAATTAACATTCAATTTTATTAAATTAAATTATTTAATTTATTAAATAGAATATTAAATTCTATTAATTTAAAATTTAACCTTATCAAATTAATGTCATTTTTTTTAATTTAACATCAAATGAACATTCAATTTTATTAAAACACCATTCAAATTTATTCAATTAACATTAAATTCAATCAAGTTAATACTAAATTAATATTTAATTTTATCAAATTAAAACTAAATTAATATTTAAATTTATCAAAATTAAGATCTAATTTATTCAATTAATATTAAATTTTATCAAATAATTTTAAATTTTATATATGAAGTATGACGTGTGAGAAGCAGTCGAACGACGTTGTGGAGGACATATGATAGCAGAGGAATTAGAAATTGATGAGATTTTGACATTGACTTTATCGATTGTAATTTTTATTATAGAAAAATTATTTTTAACTATAAAAATTATTATAATAAAAAAATATAAAAATTATAAAAACTTGATTATGTAACCAAATGAGTGATAATATGACAACTAATATTATAACAAAGTTATAATACAATGTTTTAAAATAAAAAATTCATTAGNTTAACTATAAAAATTATTATAATAAAAAAATATAAAAATTATAAAAACTTGATTATGTAACCAAATGAGTGATAATATGACAACTAATATTATAACAAAGTTATAATACAACGTTTTAAAATAAAAAATTTATTGGAATAATATAATGATTGAAATTAAATTTGTTGGCTGGCTAATGCCTACATAATGGGGAAAGAATTGATGATATTTTAGTCTATTTACATAATAAAGGGTAACTTTAGTGTTTTCACAAAATATTTAGTTAAATCATTATTTTATCTACTGATAAAGACAAAATTTAGATGAATTTTNAAAAAATTTATTGGAATAATATAATGATTGAAATTAAATTTGTTGGCTGGCTAATGCCTACATAATGGGGAAAGAATTGATGATATTTTAGTCTATTTACATAATAAAGGGTAACTTTAGTGTTTTCACAAAATATTTAGTTAAATCATTATTTTATCTACTGATAAAGACAATTTAGATGAATTGTTTTTTAGATATAACATGTAGATATAGTATGCTTTCGATATTTGTACTATATATATATATATATATACAGTAAAGATGTGTGTGATATGAACAGTAAAGATAAAAAAACAGTTACATTAAGATAGAATTTTGGGGAGATATGTGTCTCAGTTTGGAAAAAGAATAATGAAATANTATATATATATATATACAGTAAAGATGTGTGTGATATGAACAGTAAAGATAAAAAACAGTTACATTAGGATAGAATTTTGGGGAGATATGTGTCTCAGTTTGGAAAAAGAATAATGAAATATGAGAGTGTAAGAGACAGTCAATGTCTCAGTATAGAAAGTGATCCCTTAACATATGAAATGAAATTAAGAAAATAATGATAAAAGTTGTATTCTGTATTTTAGGGAAATAGAGACAGAGTTCAGGAATGAAAGATCGCTTAATTTTTGAATTTGATTGGGTTGAGAAATTAAATTTAGGGATGTTAGTTTTGGAAAATAAAAGTTTTGAGTGGTAAAAAATTTTCAAGAACTAATATGGTATGTCGGATTGAAACAATCTGAAACGTCAATAGCTTGAAACAGTTTGGAATATCGTCAGTCGTTGGATAATATCTTTTTTAATCTCTAAACGATCTGAGCNGCTTAATTTTTGAATTTGATTGGGTTGAGAAATTAAATTTAGGGATGTTAGTTTTGAAAAATAAAAGTTTTGAGTGGTAAAAAATTTTCAAGAACTAATATGGTATGTCGGATTGAAACAATCTGAAACGTCAATAGCTTAAAACAGTTTGAAATATCGTCAGTCGTTGGATAATATCTTTTTTAATCTCTAAACGATCTGAGCAGCTCTTTATCTCTTGAATTCAAAATCGTTCTACTTTATTATATAAATTGTATAATTAAAAGTATAAATAAAATAAAAATAATAATTTAGAGGATGAAATATAATTTACTCAAAAAATTATAACTTTACCCCTAAAAGACTACTACTTAATCCACTTTTTGATAGTGTATACTTATTTTCCATTTTATCGTTGCATGTAAATATTTGGTGTAACCATTACTAATATGGTCTAATTATTTAATAAAAAAATAAAAAAATATATTTATTTTTTATCATAAAGANATAATAATTTAGAGGATGAAATATAATTTACTCAAAAAATTATAACTTTACCCCTAAAAGACTACTACTTAATCCACTTTTTGATAGTGTATACTTATTTTCCATTTTATCGTTGCATGTAAATATTTGGTGTAACCGTTACTAATATGGTCTAATTATTTAATAAAAAAATAAAAAATATATATTTATTTTTTATCATAAAAATGATTACGTATATCATGATCGAATGGTTATGAATTTTAATAGAATTCATTTAGTGATTCGTTTATCCATTATTAATATTGTAGACATGACGTATCGGGTATTTCTAATATTCTTTTCTGGAAAGTACTTTTTTAGCTTTTCAAACAGACGACGTGGCTTCTTCTCAACCGACTCTCAAATCATACCCACAACTGCCAGTCTAGCCTACGCCAAGTGCGCACCGCGCACGATAATCTGCTAAACCAATAAACACCTCATCACCTCACTCCCCCCAGCGCACGTTAGACGAACCACGTCCCTTCCAAAAGCCCATTTAGCGCGGGAACTTTGTTCAACCGCTCAAACCTCAGTGCTTTGCTCGCTTCTCTCTCCTCTATGTGCACCACACCTTCCCAAACCCTTCAATGGCGTCTGGGTCGAACTCTCTCATGTGGTTCCGAAAGGGTCTTCGGATCCATGACAACCCGGCCCTCGAGTACTCCGCCAAGAACTCCAACTACCTCTATCCGGTTTTCGTAATTGATCCTCATTATATGGAGCCCGATCCGACTGCTTTCTCACCTGGTTCGTCTCGGGCCGGGTTGAATCGTATTCGGTTCTTGCTCGAGAGCCTCGTCGATCTCAACTCAAGTCTCAGGAAGCTTGGCTCGCGTTTGTTGGTGCTGAAGGGTGAACCCAGCGAGGTTGTGATTCGTTGCTTGAAGGAGGTAGCGTCTCTCTCTCTCGCGATCTGTAATTCTATGCTACTGTTATTATGGCATTGCGTCTCTATAGAGTAGTTTCAGGCCAATAATTTCGTAGAATTGATCTTAATTTGTTGAGATAATGTGTTCATCAAGTGGAGTGCTTGTAATTTTAGAATTGTGATGGTTCCCATCTATGTTTACATCTACGCATACTTCTGAATCTTATTTATATTTCGTGCAGTGGGACATAAAAAAACTGTGCTTTGAGTATGATACGGAGCCCTACTATCAAGCCTTAGACGCTAAACTTAAGGTAAAAGTCATCTTCGAAGTTGTTTTCCCTGAATGGTTTCCAGATGTTATATTGTTATTAGCATAGTGATATGCTTTTGTTTGGACATTGATTGTAAGATATTAAGAAGTTAAACCGTTGTTCAACAGAACCATGCCTCTGTAGCTGGAATTGAGGTGTTCTCTCCAGTGAGTCATACACTCTTCAATCCTGCAGACATCATACAGAAGGTAATTGTGGTATGATTGAATTTGCACGTGGGTCACTAGGAGATACTTTTGTTTCTGCAGTTGATAAATTATAATTGGTTAGAGTTATTTGTTTGTATTTCAAGTTTTCTTCTATAATAACAATGGGAGTTAATATGCTCTTCTGCTGTAATAAATTTTTCAAAAGAATGGAGGAAAGCCGCCCTTGAGTTATCAGTCATTTTTGAAACTTGCTGGGCAACCCTCTTGGGCAGCATCCCCCCTTTCAACCACGCTGTCTTGGCTTCCTCCTGTTGGAGAAGTTGGAAATTGTGAGATTTCAGATGTTCCAACCATTAAGGAACTTGGCTATGAAGACTTTGGGGAGGTATGTGTTACTATTTTTAAGGCAGGTCCTTTTGATCGAATTCCTCTTGACAAAACTAGTTAGCAGGATAACTCGACTCTTTTCAAAGGCGGTGAATCAGAAGCACTGAGGAGGTTGGGAGAATCAATTAATGACAAGGTACACCTGAGTGTTCACTGTTTTTTTAAATAAAAGTATGGGGCTAACAACTGTGAGGTTGTGAGTTTATATGTATAAGTTAACATGGTTGGCACAAGTTGTTGGTCACATATGTTTTCCTTATGTGAGCTCTATGTGTTTACCAATCACTTTAGCCTGGTAGATGATTTACTTATGTCCTGTTTTTCCTTTATGTTGCAGGAGTGGGTGGCAAACTTCGAGAAGCCTAAGGGTGATCCATCTGCATTTATAAAACCAGTGACAACTGTTTTATCACCCTACTTGAAAGTAAGTTAGATCCATTTTTTTTGTTTATGTTTATTATCTGAAGAATTCTAATTTTTCTTCCTCTTCAATTTTGAGGAAGTTTGGCTGTCTCTCTTCCAGATATTTCTATCAATGCATTCAGGTTGTTCAGAAAAGTGTCAAGAGGCACACATCTCCCCCAGTTTCCCTTCTCGGACAGGTCAGTCTCCCTTTTGTAAGGTTCAGGGGTTATGGATATACACACTAAATTGATACTTCAGCTTTTGTAGTTGCTATGGCGAGACTTTTTCTACACGGTCGCTTTTGGCACTCCAAATTTTGATCGTATGAAGGAAAACAGAATATGCAAGCAGGTAAGAAGAGTCAAAATTATAATTACGTGTACACAAGGTCATTTTGTCAATCTTTTCTGCATACATTATGTCTTTTAAGTATCTTTGTCCTTATCTTGATCGTATTATTAAATTGTGTTTTACTTTACTCCTCAAGACCTGTAATTAAAGCCCATTCAGCGTGATTGTTATAACCATATGGGCCTCTAATGAACACAACTCTTCTGAGGGGTTGAAGAGTAAGTACGTAATTGCATACCGATGGTTTGATCTGTTTATAAGTCTTTATTTTCATTTGTTCAAAATCCAAAAAATGCTATAGTACTGCATCACAAGGCGTGAAAATACGAAATTATTTATATATATGAAACATAATTGCAGCTGATAAAGAAGTTACTTATGGCAGGACCATTAGAAAGTTGAAGTCTTTCTAGCTCTTTAATTAGTGATAGTCTGGTCAGGATTTTGTATGCCTGTCTCTGATTTTTTGTTTAATCTTTATTATCCTGTGTTTTCTTCATTCTTGTTTTCATTGAGGCTCTCTTTGGTGTTTCAAAAGATATATTGGGGGAGTGGCATTGAGGAACTCCCTTTTTGTTCTTACAAAATGAGAAACAGGCTGTCTATTCTGGTGATATTTTACCCTTTTTCGGTTTAAGCCAAGTACGGGCCAACTACGACTGCTTATAAATTTAAGACAAGACAGCCTGTGCTTTCTCTATGATTTTTGTATATGAGGCAGTAGGTAGAATCATAATTAAGCACGAAACCATGATGACTCTTTGAGGGCTTAATGTTGATTAGATACCTTGGAATGACGATGAGGAATTGCTCGTGGCTTGGAGAGATGCTAGGACAGGATTCCCTTGGATTGATGCCATCATGGTTCAGGTTAGATATGTGTAGAGAATTTCCCTGGATGTTTGAAGTTGGAACCAAAAATTTTTTTATTGCCTTAATTGTTAATTTGTCTATTTAGTTTCTTATATGTAGTATGTCTGAAGTTAATTTGTGTTCTTATAGCTTCAGAAGTGGGGTTGGATGCACCATCTTGCACGGCATTCTGTCGCATGTTTTCTAACTCGTGGAGATCTGGTAAATGACTTCAATGCTCTTATGGGACTACTTGTACTTTCTGTTCTCCCTTTGTTTGACATTATTTCCTTATGATGGTAGTTTGTTCATTGGGAAAAAGGGCGTGATGTTTTTGAGAGACTTCTTATTGACTCAGATTGGGCAATCAATAATGGGAATTGGATGTGGCTCTCATGCTCATCTTTTTTCTACCAGGTGTAACTCTCATTCCATCAATTAAATATACGATCATGGTTGTGTTGGCTATTATCTTGCATATGAGCCTCCATAATAATGCACTGAAGAACTTTTGACTGGAGAAATGCTGGCAAATGAAATCCATGCCAGTTGCCAATCCCAAAATAAATAGACTCAATGAATCTTTCTTATACAAATACCAAGCGTTTTTCTCTTTCAAAATTTCACCGAATAAAATAACATGATGAAATCAGGTAAGCCAGAGTCATTTTCACTTCTTTCATTTTTTATGACCTTTTTTTTACACAAATCCTGGATGATTTCTGATAGTTTCTTCTTTCTTTTGTTGGACAGTATAACCGCATCTATTCTCCAATCTCATTTGGGAAGAAGTATGATCCTAATGGTAACTATATTAGGCATTTTATCCCTGCGCTGAAAAGTAAGTTGAAATGATTCTCTTGTTTCTATTGGCTAGATATTTTCTGCTTTCTGAAATCTAAAATCTAATGCCATACCCAGATATGCCTAAAGAGTATATTTATGAGCCATGGACAGCTCCCCTAAGCATCCAAAGCAAAGCAAAGTGCATCATTGGAAAAGATTATCCAAAACCAGGTCAGATGTCTTAATGGGTTGGTTTAAGCATTTCCTGCTGTATGTGTGGGCTGACCATACTCTGATTCCAACTTGTCTCACTATATGTCGGGTGATATAAAGACTAATAGGCTTCTGCTTAAACGATTACTGACAATAGTCGCTAGGGAACTGGGTGGCCATCATTACCATTAACAATTGAGCACTTACATAACCATAGAATGTCCCCTTTTGGAATCTTGAAACAACTCCAGTAAATCAGTTCTGTCTGTCTTTTATTGGCTAAAAGTGGTGTTTTGCCGAATGGTGGATTATGCCTTTCAATGCTTTGTAAACCACAACTGCAGCCATTCATCTTTCAATTTTTTTTTTAACCGGATCTATCCGTCTTTCATCAAGTGTCTAAATGCACTAAGAATTGCAGCATAAAGCTTCCATGGCTGCCTTGATACTCACCGTTGCCAGCTGAACAGCTTCTGCTTTCTCATTTCTTCCTCTCTTCTCATTTTCATGTTCTTGTCCTTGTTCTTATATTTCTTCATTTCTTCTTTACATAAATAATTTAATACATTTTTCTTTGTTTTTTGTGTTCCAGTGGTTTCCCATGACTATGCAAGCAAAGAATGCAAGAGAAAATTAGCCGAAGCATATGAGTTGAACAAAAAATTAAATGGCAGGGTGAGTGAGGAAGACCTCAGATGTTTGAGGAGAAAACTTGAGAAAGATCAGAATCCGGAGTCCTCCAACCTTAAAAGGAAAAAACAAATGTTGATTGGCTGAGGCCAAAATCACAGGCAAGGCTGGCAGGGACAGAGCCCAGATCACATCAGTAGGTTACACACCAAAGTGCATCAGCAATCAGTGTGACAAAGGGCTGATAACCACATGTACCAATATTTTAACCAGATGCCTGATATATGAGGAGGAGGATGTACTGTTTACAGCAGAGGAACAAATTTGCTGTCAGGGGGAAGAGGTTTGATCTCCTTGTAGAGCACAATAATTGTTCTCACTTCATTCTTGGAGAGAGGAGTTGTAACAGAATTTTTGAATTTGTGCATTCGGTGGCTAGATTTTGCTTGATGTTAAATATTTGTGGTTGGTTCTAATAGTTTTTAGTGTATACGGCTTGATAGCTAGTAATTTAGAATGACCTTTCGGGGTCGTTTGATTGGTCGGATCTAGTTGTGATCGGGTAAAATAAACTCGGGATCACAAATCTCATGTTTGGCAATATTTTTTCCGACAAGATTATGAATCCAAACTCACAACTGCCAATAGCAAATAATCCCATGTACATTGGGTTATCACATGGAGAGTGATATTTAAATGGGCGGATTGGGATTAGAATTTAAATTATTAACTTTATTTTTAGTTTCAATTTAGTTTTTGAATTTTTAATTGTTTTAATTTAGTCCCTTAATTATTAATTTTGTCTTTTCATCAAAATAGAAATATATGATTTAGCATTTGAAATAAATTAGATTAGGATAGTATTCGATTGATTTAGCGGTAAAAATAGATGGAATGATTTAATTGATATGAAATTGATGGTTGAGATAATTAAAAGTTAAAAGACCAAAATAAAACCAGAAATAAATTTGAAGGACCAACTATAATGTTTACCTTATTTTCTTTACAAAATGCAAACTATATTTACTGAGGAGGGTGTTCTTGTTTTTCTGCTGGGTGGTCTGAGTTATTTTTCAAACACATTTTACATATCGTTATTGTTTCAGTTATCTGAGTTATTTCAAGTTGCGAGTTCTGTGATTAAAAAAAAAAAAGTTGCGAGTTCACTCGTGCAAAATTATTTCACACGTGCGAATCAATCATCACACCGGTAGAGCTGCCACTACCCTTCGCCAGTGCCACCCTAGCTCGTGAACCGGCCAACTTTCCCATTTCGGGTTTCATTTCCACATTCTCAACGGTGAGAGAGAGAGAGAGAGAGAGTCTCGAATCACAATTACAAGGGGCAACCTGAGATCAAACCAAACTCTAGACACACCAAACCATGTGGAGGACGCTTTCTACACAGCTTCGTACCTTCGCTCCAGCCCGATCTATTTACAAACCTCGTCGATTCATCACCGGCAACGTCTCTTCTTCTACGTCGCCGGCTACGTCGTCATTCCGGCCCACCCTCACTCTCTTCTCCCGCCACTTTAGTTCTGAATCTGGTAATATAGACTACTCTTATTCGAACCCTAATTCGATTCAGATCTTCGACAATTCACGCCTATATATACAGACGGATACATTTAAATAGATTCTTGGATCCATGTCCATTTTCCTATCTATAGTGATATGCGCGAATTTGTTTGGATATGTTTTAGGAGAAAATGTTGTCACGAAGAAGAGAGTGGAGGATGTAATGCCTATTGCGACTGGACACGAGCGCGAGGAGCTTGAAGCTGAGCTTGAAGTAAGTTTTCTCATAATTTGTGAGTTTATTTGGATTAATTTTCTAATTGGAACTCTTTGTGATCGAGTAATGTCGCTATGTATTGGCTTCTTTGTGATCAGGGACGGAATATTATGGATATTGACCATCCTGTTGGTCCTTTTGGTACGAAGGTCAGTATGAATTATTGTAGTTTAGAGGAAATATTATTTTTATTTGTTGCTTCCTTCTGATGGTAATTATTTTTCTAATCTTGTTTATTAAAATGATTGAGGAGATAGATTTCGAACAGCTATTCTTATGCACTGCAGTGGTTTAAGTCTAATTTTTATGGATGTTAATACCACATGGAAAATTGCCAGGTCCAGTAGAATTTTAGGTTAAATTTCAGAAGTGTCCATCACTTTTGAAGAGTCTTCTAAGTTTGAATTCAGAGCAATCTAGTAATGCAGTCTAGTAATGCAATCAGTGGCCCATTTCCTAGTTTATACTGTCTGTTGTAGTGGTAGAACATTGTCTTAGCCTTGCAAGATTAGAATTATAGATATTCATTCCATCTGGTTGGGTGTTCAATGTCTAGAAAGCACTTCGGAGTTATTGAAATTGGAGGTAGAAGGTTTAGAGGTCAGAATATTCTTACATTGAAGATATCTATGCAGATTGTACGTCTCCTGGATGGAAGAATGTCTTATATCCTTCGTTTAAATTAGCATGGTGTGCTTCTATTTTTGCTTTTTTTTTTTTTGGAGTCATGCATAGGATTGCTTTTCTTCTTTGGATAAAACTGCCCTAAGTGGTTGTTGTCATTTCTTTTTCTTTGACCATGTGTCTCACTCTGTTATTGAGAATGGTACAACATGGATTTAGTAAATTCCACATTGATTGTAGGAATAATTCAGAAATCTGAGCAATGGTAGAAGCAATATACATATAGGGCTCTCCATTGATATGTTTCTTATTATAGTCAGTACTTTGCCACGTAAGTATGACCTGCTTTTTATGTATGATGTACCTCTTTTGTTCATATGTCAGTGAGTTTTCTACGTTTTCTGGTATTCCATTTGCGGAAGTTCTGTTTAATGCTTCAAGACTCAATCAATTTTCTTGTAGACTAACTTTAGTACTTGTTCTAAATAATATTCTTGTTCCAATAATGTTTTTGTTCCACCTAGTGTTTGATATGTGCATTCTTACACTTGATAAAGTATTTATGGTGAATGATTGCAAACTTCCTTTATTTCCTCGGACAAGCTGGGCTGTAATGAGGGAGCCTTGTTGTTTGATATTCATAATAGGCTACTGTCATCAAGTTGCAAGAACATGGCTTTTACCTGTACAAGTTAATAAAACTAAAAACAGTCAGCACGGTAAAAAAACCCAAATAATCAAAATGACTTGTTCTTGTAACCAATGAAAGTGTCAAATTTGGTGTATTTCTTTTTGTTTTTCTTCTTCCGCACGCATTTAGCTGCATTTGCTGCACAGCTTCTTTGTCCATTTTCTAATTTTGACTCTCGTGCTAATCATTTCTCAGTCATTATCTGCCCAGTTATAAAGATGTGTAATTTACATGAAGTGATCTTTTGTTGGCTTGTGACAATGGAAAATGAAAGGGGGATTTTGACTCATTAATTTTTTAAATCCATCAACTGGGTTAGTATTACCAAGAATTTTGATGGGCTTGTGTAGTCAGTTTTAATAATTTAATGTGACGCTTAAAATGGTTTTCAATATATGATCTTATTTTCACATACTCACCTAATTTTGGCCTGTAGGAATCACCTGCGGTGATCAAGTCCTACTATGACAAAAGAATTGTTGGCTGCCCTGGTGGTGAAGGGGGTAAGTCTCAATTACCTTGTTGGATAGTTCCTTAGCTGTAGATAAAAGGATTGGTATATGATGTCCCTTTAAGGTCATCTAGCTTGTCGCATATAAGCTATTTAACAATCTGTTTCCTCTTCTGAACAGAAGATGAGCATGATGTTGTTTGGTTCTGGCTAGAGAAAGGGAAGCCACATGAATGCCCAGTCTGCTCTCAGTATTTTGAGGCGAGTGCATAATTACCATTGAATTAATAATATGTTCATAATGTGGAGCAGGTGGAGGTGAATCTGGATCCCATTATAGCAGTTATCTAGATTGAATCCATATTTACCTTTTTTCTTGAACGTACCATGTGACCATTTGAGCAGGACTCGTAGATAGGTATTATGTGAATTTAGTTCATTGCTTATAATGGGCCTTTTGGCGACCCTGTCTAATCTTCATTTCATGCTTCTATTTAGATGGTAATAATTGAGAGTTGAGACTTGTGGAGAAACCATATAATTGTCTTTCTTCCTTCGGAGTGGGAATAAAGTGGACAGGCCACTGAGCTTGAGTCCATGCTATATTATACAGGATACACAGTTAGTTTCAGTATTGGCTAAAATTAACTTAACTGCTTATTCTTGTTTTACAGTTGGAAGTGGTTGGCCCAGGAGGCCCTCCAGGTGGGCATGGTGATGATGATCACTGATTAAAGCTTGCAATTTTTCTACCGGAATAAAATCTGGTGAGATAATGAGACATTGTCTTGTATATTCTGCAGCGTCTTAATTCAAGCGCTAGGTGTTTTGTTTGCTTTTGATGGGCCCTTTGTCCTCATGGCTATTGATTTGGCAACATTTGAGTCTCAGAATCAGAACTATTCCTTACCCCTTTTGGGATTTTAAACATAGGATGATCATCTATTGCAATCATGAATTCTCAGTTTTCTGCAATGCATAATCAAATAAATGATGTTTACGATTTGGTTCCGTCGAGAGCTGTATGTTTGTAAACAACTGAGCTGGTCACAAATAGATCTGTTTTTGTTGCATTCCAACTCAAGTTATGCCATCTGTTTGATGGAGTGAAATAAAATGGTGGATAGATATGCGGATTAGTGGGTTGTAGCTGTGGCTACGGGTAGTACTGTAGTCATGGGGGCCAGGTTGGCTGGGACCTAGAAAGGGGATCATGCATGTTAGACTGTTAGTCTTTATCTTCTTCACTAGGAATGGACCAGGTTTTCTATCAGCAACAAGATAGTCACAGGCTGGTTTTTTTTTTTTTTTTTAACTATAGTACCATGATGACAGTTTTGCCCCCAGACAAAACCGGAGAAAAAAGGAAACACTTGAAGCAAATTCCTGAGAATCATGTTTTATTTCTTTTTAACACTCTTTAATTGTAATTTCAAACAAAAATTAAATAATATTTTTTATTTTAATGTCAATTTGAAAACTCTGGTTTAAAATGTTATAATTGATGGATATAAATATTGAATAGAAATAGCAAAATTGAAACGCTATTGGCCGTTTAGGGGCTTAGAGCCCTGAGTGAGGACCCTTTCTGTTGGCCAACATGATGTTGATCAAAAAAAAAAAAAGTGGCTAGGCAGGAAATGCCTAGCTGGTCTGACCCGACCCATATGGGTCGGACCACAGCAACATATACTGTGGACTGTTTGGTTTGATCCAGCCCGATGTCTGCTGTTAAACATTTTTTTGGCCCTTGATTGTTTTGCAAATCACTAATGCTACTCTTACTAAATTTCCACACCAAATCTCTCTGGTCAAATTGTGCTGAATTTTTACAGCCAGAAGATAAGTGTGTTGATAACAATATCAAAAAACAAGCTGAATAGTACCTTCGGAACTATAAGATTACTTTGGAGACTCATTTTTCTGATTCTCCTTCTTGTCTGTTGAACTCCTGGCATCCCCCAGGTGTTAGGATTCTCAAAGTCAAACTTTGATGGGGGTTATTTTTGAGTCAGAAGATGCAATTGGTGTTAGTGTGGTTATAAGAGACGATATTAGCCAGTTTGTGGTTGGTTGCTCTATGAAAATACATGCCCGCTGCGAGGCGCTGGTTGCTAAAACTTTGGCTACAAGGGAAGCACTCCTTTCTGCTCAGAGACATTGTCTAATGTGCGTAAGATGAAAAATAAAGTCGCACATAACTTAGGTAGAAATGTTCGTTTTGTTTCAATGACTGGAAGATACCTTCTCTTCTCATAGATATTCTAAATTACTAAAATTACTACCGTCTAAATCAACCAAAAAAAAAAAAAAAAAGAATTTATGGTGGTAAATATGCCACATAAATTTGGTGTGCGTAAGGGTAGCACTCCTCAAATCATTAATAAGCAATATGGTATGACTCAAACTAGAATTGATTCCAAAGTGACCATCACAATCTCACCCATACCCATAACCAGAAAGAAACAGAAGAATGTGCTTCCATTCTGTAGGAATATGAACAGGAGAAAACATTGCATGGAGAAAATTTTCGACATATACCCACCACCACCGCCACTAACACAACCATTATTCTCTGTAGATAAATCACCTTTCTCAAGGATGTTTTTAGTCATAATCAACCACATTTTCTGATAAATTCCAAACACTGCCTTTCTAGCCAAGCTTTTTTCTTATAACATTTACGCATCAAAGCTTTTAATGATGACATTGATAGGGTTTGTTGGTACAACTTCTTGCAAATTCAAGGATTCTGGCTGACCTGGATTAATCCCTTTGGGCAATCCTTCAATAGTCTTTACCTCTCAGTGCCCGTATAGAGTTTCGTCCCACATCAATTTTGTTTACTAAAAGGCGCCTTTTTGTTGGTACAAATTCTTGCATAACTCAAAGATTCTGGCTGACCTGAGTTAACCTTTTGGACGACTTTCCAGTAGCCTTTACTTCTCAGTGCTCGTGCGGAGCTTCGTCCCACATTGACTGAGAGTCGTCTCCCCCACCCCCACCCCTTTATAAGCCTGAGCCCCTTAGAGATGGGTACCCAAACTCTCAATCGATATGAGACGAAACTCCGCATAGACATTGGGAGGTAAATGTTACTGGGGGTCGTCCAAAGAATTAATCCAGGTCAGTCCGAATCCTTGAGTTGGGCAAGAATTTGTACTATTAGGGTTCAATCAACCTCATATTCCCACAGTTTGCTGAGCAAAAGAAGAAGAATGTTGATTGATTCCAATTGTGTTGCTGGACAGTGGAGGGGAACCGTTTGGACGATGATCAAGAGTTTATCCTCTCTCTCTCCTCCCCAACCGCCCATTTTTTTCCTTCTGTGTGTACACGCACCAGTGTTTTTGTCGAGTGAATCCAACTTTAGATCTGTTGGATTCAATTTTACTTTTCTATTACCTTGTTTGGATTGTCTGGGTGGAATGATTTAGAAAGGAAGAAAAAAAAATCGGGTAGAGGGGAGTTGTACAAGGGGAGGGAATGGGAAGAGAAAAGAAAAGATTTTTTGATCATTTTTTTTCTTTTTAGGCTCGAAGGTGGGAAGATTTGGAGAAAAATGGAACTTGAGTTGGTGATTATTGTTTTTGTCTCTAGTTTTTACAAAATTAGTTTTTAGTTCTTCTACCCTTTGAACTAATAAAATTAATCATGTTTTTTTTTGAATTTTTTTATGAACAGTCAATAGTGGTATGGATTCGACTCTTTTATTGTTAATTTTTAATTACAAAGGTATTGTTGATTAAAATAACATCGTTTTGTATCAAAATGATGTCATTTTATTTAATAATATAGCGTGGTTTTGATGCAAATATTTAAATTAACGGCATCTTTACTGTTGATTTTGTAACGGTGAAGAATCATCATCCATAGTGGTACTAGTGACTATATTATTCTTTTCTTTTCTTTTTTTCTAAGAATTCCAAACATGTCGTGTTTATCAAGTCAATATTTTGTTATTATTTCGGTTCATTTATTTTTTGTACTAATTGGACTTGACCTTAGTATCAAATAATTTATTGTCACTTTTTTTTAGTATCATATCAGTAATAAAAAATAACACTTATAACAGTGATAAAAATACCGATAAAAATAATAAATATCAATATAATACACCAAAAAAAATCGATACCATAGACAACTCCATGCTAATTGATCATGTCATACTATAGTGTTGGGTCTGTCTAAAATTATCTGAATTGGTTATCTTTGTGTAGGGCACAAAAGACAAGATAATAACCACCGTAAATCATTCCCAAACAGATGAAGCAGAGAAGAATTAAAGGCTAGACTATGATTTATGAGTTGAAAGGTGTGCAGATATGGAGGCAGTATCTACAATTTTTTACACAAAATTCCAGATTTGAATAATTGAGAACCATTAATGAACATAAAATAGCGGTTGTTTAAAGCTAGTGCCCAGCAGCATATATGTTGCCTTCTCCTAATAAAACCCACAATCATGGTATAAATCTTTTTTCAATTAAGATGGATGCTGCTGTGGGATAGGGTAGGGGTTGACCTTCAAAAGGTTTTCTTCTAATATAACCCCCCAAAAGGAGGGAAGAAGGGCACCAAATAAAGTAGAGTCCATGTTACACTAGTAACTTTCTTTTTTATATTTTATTTTTTTTAAGAAATCACTAAATTAGATTACAATTAAGAGAATGGATGGGGTAAATTTGTTTCAGGTGCGACTCGATCTTAAGGCATTATGGATGAGGACAATCCCATTAACCTTTTTAAGAGTAGGCCTGTAATGGGTTAAACAGTTTGTGTCGGGTCTTAATAATACCAAAATTGTTTTATTAATTTGTGTCTAATGAATCCTATCGTATCGAGTTTGTATCGTACATCAATCGTATATAATCGATATATAAATAAGTCGTATCATACATTTTTTTTAATTGGTTTCACTCAAATCTAATTCGTTTATTAATCGTGTCGTATCAGATTCACTCGTTTATAAAAGTGGGTGACTTATAAAAGACTCAAACACTCTAACTTCGTATTGTGTTCGTGTCGTGTTAACGAATCATGTCATATTTTTTTAACATCCCTACTTAAAAAGTGATTCAGTGATTAAGCCTGACTTTGGATAACTCAGAGGTTCCATGTTAAATCCCTTCTTATGCGGTCTAAGAATCAATCATCCTTGTTCATTTGGTGCATACTCTAA